GCTGAATGATTATATATATGATATCAAAGAAACTGGTAAATGTCAGGTTTGAACTAGCTTACTAATTGCACAATAATCCGTATAATTTTATCCATATGTAATATCGAAAGAAATATGATAATCTATCTGTCATCAGAATATAATAGGCAAATATAAACTAGAAGGCGTATAAAGCACCCGGGTGACAGTGTTGTTCGGCCTCTGGGATAAGATTAAATTACACAACTTTGTATTCACTGATTAACATCGTGCGGTAGCGTATTAATTCTATATTCGGACATGCAAAAGGTTTGACTGGTATTGCAATAATCGTGGTGTTCTTCTGGTGGAATCAAAAATGCAAATTTGACGAAATATTCCCGACTTTAGAACATTAAAGCGGGAGGATCGTCACCTGTGCACGCACGGGAATTGTGTCCCAAGCGATGATAACAAAACACGTAAAGAACGCAAAGGCTCATGGGTAGACGCTTGATTGTAAACAATGACACGCTATGGCCACATGACGCATGCGTAGGTGACGACTCCCCCGCTTTAATTTTCATGCCTTTCTTCCATCTATCTCTCTAACGAAAGTTGATTGCATTGATTCAGCGAGGTGATAACTGAATCTTTTGAGAATCTTGAGAATTTTCAATCGAAAACAAATTCAAATTATGGGCTTTTTAATCAAAAACTTAAATGTTCTCAAGGTACGTGGGAAACTGACAATCAAAATTAAACAATTTTTAAGTAATCAGTACGCAATTTAAAAATAGTGGCAATAAACCAAAATTTACAAATTATAATAATAATATATATTCCGAGCTCAAATAAAACTGGCTAATGCAAATAACGGAATTTCAAAAAAAAAAAACAAGTTCAAATAAAATAGGTAATATTTTTTGAGCAAAATTACATATTTTGAAAATGCATCTCTAAGCACAAAGCCACATTACACTAAACAAAAATTGGTTGGACTTTTGGTAATTTTGAAAAAAATGAAAGATTCAAGATGGCGTCTAAACATGTGACCAATCAAGATAATTTCGACAGTTTCTGAAAGGTTATTATCAGCTGAAAAGAAGAATGATTCCTCATCATGCCTACAACATATTTACTGTGCCGCAAGTGAGTATTTCATACGTTTGCTTTTTCAACAACTGTTTTGCAATAAGAATAAAATCCAACAAAATTTTTAATTAACGTCTTTCCGTGAAACTCGCTTGCTACGATCTGTGAAAAATGATAGATTCCAGGTGGTATTCCAATACATGGTGATGCGGTATCATCAACTGCGGTATTTATTTGTGATCTGGACAGTACATTAACACAGCCGTGCCGACATCGAGTGATGAAAAGTAGAACATTCTCATATATGTTCAGTATATGTTCGTACAAGTCTGGAACAGGGTTCTGAATACTTTCTTGTGATAGGGAATGCCATCACTATCAAAAGAAAGATTCATTACAACGCTTTCATATCCAGGGTGACAGTCATTTTGCATGCTTTCTGCCACAATGAAAAGTTATTACACTGTTTGAAAGTGGAGAATTCTAGGACAAAAAAGTGTCTCTCAAAGAATTGAGAAGCAAGCCACAAATATCAATTGATTAATGAAGAAATAAGTTAAAAGCAATTGTATGAGGAGCTGTTAAATCTTGTAAAATTAGGAACTTTATAGCAAACATTTCCATAATTAGATAATTGGTTGTATCATAGTTTAATCTTTTCAAATGTTGGTCCAAATTTATACTCTTTCTTTAAGCAAACATACATATTATTTCAATTTTGTGACTTAACACTCAGTTGCACCACAAAGACAAATTAGTAGACCTTATAGATGTCAGCTTATATTAATTTAATACAAAGATATTCCATATTTTGTTTAAAGAAATCTTATTACTATCGTAGTTTTCTATTCTGTGGTTTCCGTGCTGGGAAGATTCAGCTGTGCCATTTACCTAATCTTTCTTCATTCCTAAGTGCATGTGTCCATATTTGAAAACCCCCTGTTAGTTTCCGACACATCTAATTGCATTTGGTTTCTTGGATATAGTTGCGTAATTCCTGATATATTTAACTTTAATAGCTGCACACCTCGACGCCACTGTATAAACCATTGGCGAAGCTATGAATTCCCAAACAGCTCTCTGGCCACTTTCTTTACATATCCGGGTGCATTGTTAAAGTTGGCGCATGCGTCAGATGGTCATATCATGTCAGTGTTTACAAACAAGCGTCTACCCATGAGCCTTTGCGTTTTAGCGTGTGTTGCTGTAGTCGCTTGGGACTCAATTCCAGCGCGTGCGCAGGTGTCAACCCTCCCGCTTTAATTATTATCTCCAGGTAATTGTCTTCGTCATTAGTGACCTGCTTCTCATGAGTGTAAATTTGTTGAAAATCTTATCTCTGCAAATCCCACCAGATCATAGGCAGCATTTGACCACAGAGTAAGCACAAAGTCTGGCCCATTGATATCTGAACTTTATTGTTGTCATATTTATAATATAGATAAGCAAACATAAAAATCCGGGACATTAGCTCTGGAGTTAACTAAAAAAAAGTTCTAAAATAAATGATTCTAGGTTTGTTAGCAATACACGCATCAACGATGAAGCGGCTGACACTATAATCACATTTAACGGTGAGATATTGTAGAGAATATGTTCCCTATCATAAATTATTATAAACCTAATATGTATATTACGCCATGCAGTTGAATTAAACCGTTGTGAGCACAGTTGAATGCCAACTTCATTGACTGGCATCTATTCCCATCGAACATAAAACAAAATCTATTTTGAGAACCGCAACGACAACAAATGTACTCATTACATCATGGACAATATGTGATATGCATTCGTTTTGCAATACTTTTACAATTACAGCAAGTCTTGTGTCATGCCAATATTACATGATCTTCAAGGCGACTAACAATTACATATTGTGCAATTATATATACAGTGACGATTCGAACGTAGCCCTACGTCGTAGATATTAAATGCCATTACTGAATAATGCAATTATATATAATATTATATTAAAATGTAATCAAAGTATATTATCTCTGTACACATGAGTGAAATTTGTGGTTGCATAAGGCTAGGACAGGACATTGGCTTGTAGCTCGTTTACCGGCAAAGCATATTCATACAAATTCATAAAAAATGTTGTCTGGGTTTAAAGCCTCGGTACACGGGGTTCCAAGAAGGCAGATTGGTTCCCCTCCCTTGTTTAACAAACAGGTGTTAGTGTTGCATTTTCAGTCAACTCTGGAAGTATTTCCCTACAGGGAACGTGGTTTACTTGAGATCATAGTCATACACATACAAATCGTCCATCTGGAGGTCAAAGGTTACCTCGCAAACCTGCGCCATTGGACACGATATTTCAAGTAGCGCACCAATTCTTTATTTTTTTGTCAAGTAACGAACCGACTATATATATGGACCATTGTACAATATGAATGCATGTTTTCTACTTGGTAGTTTGTGTTTCTTCGTCCTCGGACGAAAAGAATGTATAATTCTCGAGGCTTAAAAGTAATCAACACAATTCAGAATGAATTTAGAATGTATAGAATATTACGACCCCTAGCAAATGATTTGATACGATAACGTTTGATGAACTATCGCTTTCAGTCTAGTTCCTATGTATAAAAAACATTTTTTTCTAAAAAAAAAAAAAAAAAACATGCGAAAATCCTGCATGGAGCCTGGTTAAAAACTAATTTCACACAATTTTGTGATTAATAAAAAAAATAGAAATAATTCTAAGACCAGTTGTAAAGACCAATAATTAATTTAATACGATACGATACAACATTACAATTAACATTACAGCATTGAACCTGATAAAACACAAGACACAAGAAAAAGTAAATAGCCGATAGATCGCTAATAATATTGGTAGCTGCGAATTGGATTAGTAGTTTAACATTTCAGTCCTCCCAAAGAGGTAGTTCAGCACTTAATTTTCAGTATAAAAGTGGTCATTGTCCAAATATTGTTCAATCGCGCCGATTTACTCATGGTCTTGGTCTTTCGATATGATCACACACTTTGCTGTTAACTTTCGGTTCCACGAAAGTACGCTTCAGAAATGACAACCGGTGTGACTGGGTTTGATAAATTGTAACAAGTCAAGTGATTTACATTTAAAGACTATCTTTATTGACCATTGGTGTTTGGTGATTTCATCAAGGTAATTACGATTTCTTGTATCGTACATGTGGCACTAATTAACACCGTAAATCTCGGGAAATTCCCAGAGCTAGTTTATTAAAATCATAAATATAATTTAGAAGAAGACTACGGAATATTATAAATATAAAGCTCATCAGTTGCATATCACCCACAATACTTGTAAAATATTCCCACAAATGCAATAACCGTCAACAGCAAATCTAACAATACGTAATAACGACCACACGTGAATGTTAGAAGTAAGACTTGTGAATCTCAAATATATTATGAAAACCCTGTAACCACAAAAATACTGATATGTACAATGAATATAATAATGTTAATAGCACACACAAATTATTGATATGTGCTGTTAACCACCTATGAAATAACTCTCAAAACCAAACAAGCCATCTCAAATAAATAGTATATACTTAACCATGAACTGAATATATTATCACACATAATTATATAAATAATTTAAACACGAACATAATAATCTATACTATCAACATCAAAAGCATTAACACTGCGATACATGTACTATATGTGTATTACATGTACTATATGTGTATTACATGTACTATATGTGTATTACATGTACTATTTGTGTATTACATGTACTATATGTGCCGGAAATGTTATAAACCTCAACTACAAATGTCCTGTGGCGTCATAGATGATACATGACTTACTTTACAGCGGCCGTATTTCTCTAAGTCGTAGCTTACAGGAAGTCTCAAGGCAAAACTAAAAATACAAAAGTCATTTAATAAATGGTTGAACATTATACCCCTGTTTATGGAATGAAAATGACAAAAACCATTATATTTTTACAATTATCGACATGATTCAGATTCGTTTTGAATACCACCCTCATATATATATGTGTGTTTTGAAAACAGCACCAGTACTTGACACTTACACATGTTTAATGAGGTATTGAAGCCGACTGTCAGCAGGGTGAATGTTACTGAACTGTTTGCAACCATCATATTCATAATCACGTAAGAAACCGGATGCACCAATTTCGATATGACCAATGGAGAGTGCCACAGCACAAGTTAAATCATGCGAGTAAATTCCACAAACACCAGAGTACCCATGACACCTTGCACGTCGAATTTTTTCTGCAAAAGATAAACCATTTATATATGTATTTAATGATTTTCTGAATAACAATTACAGTGTTGACAACGTCTATTCTACGACTGGTTCCTAATTGCCACTGCTTCGAATTCATTCATATAATATGCTCCTTAGTCAAAGTCCATACAGTCTGGTTAAGCGTATGTCTACACACGAGTCAATTATTTGCCGCGATATAATTGCTGTCAAATTGATTGCTGGCAACATTTCTCATGCAAAGAAGAGAAGTAGTAGACAGGAGTTGGTAATCACTGTCATATTTTAATATTTTAATTGGCTGAACAATAATCCCGTGTTTGCATTGTCTCTCACTTGTGCACTTTGATAGCATGGAGTATAGCATAGATTTAACATCTATTGAAAATAAAGTGAAAAATCACACGTTCCAAATGTTCACCCCTTATTCTAACAATTTAATTAGTTTTACAAGCAATGTAACGCCACTGTCCTATTAATAGCGCAAAAATTAAAAATATACATCATAATCAATGGAGATTGTTCGTCCCAAAAAAATCCAATTCTGAGATCGCATCGATAGTGAACAAACACATGTTCAACTTGTCCTTAAGCACAGTGTTATGTTCAATTCAGTTATTCAAAACTACATTCTGGAGTATCGGGGATATCCTACCTTTTTCGATAAGTGTCTGAATAGGTGCAACCATTTCAATATCTACTTCATCACTTATAGCCGATATACTATCAAGTAACCACTGATTTGCTGCATTCACTCCTATCAAACTTTTCATTTCGTCAGTTGCTGTATCTATTACGTTAAAGAGCGCTTGTATGGGCTTACAATCATCCTCTTTGTCAATCTGAAAGCTACTACTGCTCATAAGATCTTCATTTTGGGAAAATGCCACTATGTGTCCATCACTTTTCCGACACACCAGAAATGATAGCTTTTTAGAATGCGAAAATGAATGTTTAAAATAGTTTTTATACGAATTAATGACTTTATGACGATATGCATTCAATGAAGCAGTGAGTGGGTTCGTATCTGTAAAACGAATAGCAGATATTAAGCAGGCATCATTGATTCGATCATCAGTGACATCATTAATAGATAATATGTCATAATCTTCACATAAATAATTATTGATATCATCATTCCAGTCCATCTTCTGTTTTTCTGGGCAAATAATATCTTTCAAACATTTGGCTGTGAAGAAGTCCAATATTTCCACATTTAAACCACTTGCTCGAAAATTCATAACAGCTTCTATGGCATTTACTGAAAAAAGAAAACAGTCGAGGTTACAGCAGGCGCATTTCCAAAAACATCAGATTCAAATTAGCAGCTGGGGAAATGTGTCTATCCAATGCACGCAGACACTCATCCTGTTACGTCGCATTGTACTGTCTCAAAAACAAATTAAGTATTTAGTTTGCATATAATAACAATATGTGGCTTGATTATTCTGTAAAGGTTATAATGTGACCTTTTTCATACTACATATATCGTGTGTTTCATGTAGGTAAATTTTGTTCATTATTCAACTGAATATTGATGTTGGTTTTCCAAATGTTACTTTTTGCAATTGTTATCATTTGAATAACTGAATTAGTATTTAATTGAGAACATTAGGATTCCCCTTATCGTGAGATTTATATCTACAATTTGATATATGATACTGGTTAATTGCATTCATGTCCGGGTTACAAAGACCAGCTTATTGTATTACTGGCTCAAGTATTAATAATATTTGACGGTTATCAAACTGGGTTTCTTTGAAATTAATGGGGAAAATCGAGATATGTTAGCCTTGCATTGGAATACAACACTCAAATAAACCAAACGCATTCTCCGAGATGTTAATATCTAAATGTAACTTTTATTTTAAAACGATACCTATCTCCTAAATTTCACCCTTGGAAATAATTTTTACCCATTTCCTGGAATATGTGGGGGGAAATTTCATTTTTAAATGTAATTTTTCAGTTGACTTACTCAATTATTCTATTACACTTTACTAAAACAGTGGTGTGAAGTTGGGCCTAATAAAAACATCTCGAATGAATATGAAATCATATGGAATAACGTAAATATGCTCATTCATTATAAAAGTATCTTTTACTGAGCGGTTCTAATGAAGGAATAATTTATATTGCAGATATATTTGACGCAAATGGGAAAATTAAAAATTGGGCTAATCTCCAAGCACTGGGGCTCAATTATGTTCAGTTACTTCAGTGGTATGGCATTATCTCTGCACTGCCATTAGACTGGAGGAATAGCCGTGTAATTTGTGTACGGCCAGAGCCTCCTATTAGTCTAGTCACCGGTGAACAAATAATTGTACTTGAAAATACCACCCAAAAGCAATTACGTAAACTGTTCACCTCCCATGTTTTTACAACACCCAAAAGTCAACTCTTTCTTAATATTTTGTGTAGTCTGGATAACAAGGATTCGGAATTTCATTATTCCATGCCTTTTGTGGTAACTCTATGCAGCAATCTACGTGAGTTTCAGTGGAAATTAAACCACAATATCCTGTACACAAATGAAATGTTATTCCATATGAATTCACCATTAGTATCTTCAGATGTATGCTTATTTTATCATAGTAACACCGAGAACCCAGTGCATCTTTTTGTTGAATGCGAGTCTATTAAAGTCCTCTGGACATAAATTTTTAATCTATGGGGAACAAAACTAGGATGCCCAAGAACATTGTCAGCAATGTACTTCTCCCCTCTACTAAACCATATAATTATAATTGTTAAAAGAAATATCTATACGTGATAATTAAAAAAGAAACTACCATGCTTTAATCTCATAAAATCTGATATACGTTACACGCAAAAGATAGAGTTAGAAATTTCAAAAAGAAGACATACAATGTCCATTTTCCTGGACAATTGGGGAGACTTTAATTGTTAATGGGTATTCAGTGTATATTTTGTATGGGTTATAATAGGAAATGCCTACATTTACCACACCCATGAAGTGTGTCAGGTTTGTGGCATCCAAATATGTCATTTACTAGGAATACACCAAACACTACGCATCCTTTGAGTGGTTATTCTTGACCACTCAGAAAGGTTCACACAGCCGTTTCGATGCCCAAAAGCAGTTCATTAGAAATGTGTAAGACACCACCCATTAAATCTCTCAACAACCATTAAACGATACGATGTTCTACAGTATGGCAGATCCAAAGTTGACTTTGTCATTGTGTTTGGGTTATATAAGGCTTCAAGGAATATGCCCTTGTGCATTAGCTGAGGGCTACAGTGAAATAATTATTTCCACTGAAAACTTGGCTGTCAATACAACCATAAACATCACACCAATGTCACCCTCACATGATACAGAGGAGACGGGACTGGTCAAATCTCTAGGCTCTGGCAAAAAAACACTTACTCAGGATACAAAGGAGAAGCTAGTAGGCGCTGGCAAAGTCACAGGAAAATATAAAAATATGGAAAATGCCCTCATTTGGATGGGGTTGTATTTGACTTACTGGCGCTTTGGATGTTTTGTTAGCCCACTTGTCGGAACAGAGCATATAGGAAGAAGCCTCCAACATTAGGTTCATGTGTTTTTGGCGAGCCAACCTGCTGTTTTTGATCGAATTCACAAGCAATGCCAGCAACAACAACCACAGCCTCTCTATCCCCTATGTATCCTGTACCAATGCAAGATCAACAGAGAAGAAGGTGAAAAATTGTGGAACATTAACCTTAATGTCTGTGAGTATCCTCAAATCACGAGTCACTCTGATTCATATATTCACAAAGAATGTGAGCTCCAGCGTTCAAACTACTATATACCATTTTGCAGATCAAAAAGAACGTGCGATTGATATCATTCATTGGAATTAATGTGACATGTATTGTGGTCTACGAGGTTTCGAAAAGATAGTGAATTCCATTAGTTGATTCTTCTGGTCATGAGAACATCTATTTGGGGCCTAATCTCTCTGCTTAAATGCCATGGAAAAGAAGCTTACAAGTCGTTTCTACAGCCCTTGAGGTGAATAGAAGAGTATTGCGCCCATCACGACCATCACTACAATGGCACATTCCAGACGATGTGCCATCAACATGACTTTTCCAAGCCAACCACCAACAGACTCTACCTAAATGCCAACAACCTGTATCGGTGTGCAACAAGCCGCCCACTGTACCCTGGTTTATTTCAAGAGGAGAAGATGTGGGGTCTTCCCACATGCATTCAACCTTCCAGCTAATTGACCAGAGGGTTATAACTTTGAAGTTTTTGAATATGAATGTGTACGTCAAGCAAAACGTATGAAACAAATAAAGTATATATGAAATTTGTAATTTTAGGGACGGCCAATAAACATAGGTATTTAAATTCATGCAATTGCAAGGAAGTAAGCTCATGTAAGGCCAACTTGTGTTCTGCTGATGAATTATCATCCAGATTTATAATTTGTAAACCATTATCAAGTCTGATTGAATACATACCTGAATTACCGCCAAGATGAAAATAATTATGTTCCAGAGAAACATCTTCTTCTGTCAAATTCAGCACTCGAGCAACTGTAGATCGAATGATCAATGCCTTATATGAATAATCATTTGTATCTGTCTTCTCTTTCACACAAGTCACCCTTTCTTTACCGAGGCCAGCTTTGTCTATTTTACCTGCATATCAATATTGTTGAATGACATTGTTAATTTGAAGTTACACCTTTTGCATCTAATGTGTGGCATAAGTCACGCTTATTAACAATATATATATATATATATTTATACAAAATATATGAAAGAGAATTAACAAAACAATACAACAACAGTAAACCACCGCTGGAAGTTGTTTTGCCACTCTAGGCCATTCACATTGCCGAATATTGGTATTATGAGAATAAATTTCAAAATGATATAGTATGCACATTCTGTCAAAAACTATTCTGTATAATAATTACTCACCGTTTGGTAACAATGGGAATGTGTTGACTGGAACAACAGTAGGAATCATGGACGAAGGCAATGTCAACTTTAACTGTTGATACACTGATTCTGGCTTCCATTGTTCGTCACCATCCACAGGTTTGCAATATGCCACCAATGACTTTTCTTCAGCGTGGAAAC